TGCTTCAGTTTTGAATTGAAGCATTTTCTGTGCTTCAGTTTTGAATTGAAGCATTTTCTGTGCTTCAGTTTTGAATTGAAGCATTTTCTGTGCTTCAGTTTTGAACTGTAGCATTTTCTGAGCTTCAGTTTTGAATTGAAGCATTTTCTGTGCTTCAGTTTTGAATTGAAGCATTTTCTGTGCTTCAGTTTTGAATTGAAGCATTTTCTGTGCTTCAGTTTTGAATTGAAGCATTTTCTGTGCTTCAGTTTTGAATTGAAGCATTTTCTGTGCTTCAGTTTTGAATTGAAGCATTTTCTGTGCTTCAGTTTTGAATTGAAGCATTTTCTGTGCTTCAGTTTTGAATTGAAGCATTTTCTGTGCTTCAGTTTTGTATTGAAGCATTTTCTGTGCTTCAGTTTTTAATTGAAGCATTTTCTGTGCTTCAGTTTTGAATTGAAGCATTTTCTGTGCTTCAGTTTTGAATTGAAGCATTTTCTGTGTTTCAGTTTTGAATTGAAGCATTTTCTGTGCTTCAGTTTTGAATTGAAGCATTTTCTGTGCTTCAGTTTTGAATTGAAGCATTTTCTTTGCTTCAGTTTTGAATTGAAGCATTTTCTGTGCTTCAGTTTTGAATTGAAGCATTTTCTGTGCTTCAGTTTTGAATTGAAGCATTTTCTGTGCTTCAGTTTTGAATTGAAGCATTTTCTGTGCTTCAGTTTTGAATTGAAGCATTTTCTGTGCTTCAGTTTTGAATTGAAGCATTTTCTGTGCTTCAGTTTTGAATTGAAGCATTTTCTGTGCTTCAGTTTTGTATTGAAGCATTTTCTGTGCTTCAGTTTTGAATTGAAGCATTTTCTGTGCTTCAGTTTTGAATTGAAGCATTTTCTGTGCTTCAGTTTTGAATTGAAGCATTTTCTGTGCTTCATTTTTGTATTGAAGCATTTTCTGTGCTTCAGTTTTGAATTGAAGCATTTTCTGTGCTTCAGCTTTGAATTGAAGCATTTTCTGTGCTTCAGTTTTGAATTGAAGCATTTTCTGTGCTTCAGTTTTGAATTGAAGCATTTTCTGTGCTTCAGTTTTGAATTGAAGCATTTTCTGTGCTTCAGTTTTGAATTGAAGCATTTTCTGTGCTTCAGTTTTGAATTGAAGCATTTTCTGTGCTTCAGTTTTGAATTGAAGCATTTTCTGTGCTTCAGTTTTGAATTGAAGCATTTTCTGTGCTTCAGTTTTGAATTGAAGCATTTTCTGTGCTTCAGTTTTGAATTGAAGCATTTTCTGTGCTTCAGTTTTGAATTGAAGCATTTTCTGTGCTTCAGTTTTGAATTGAAGCATTTTCTCTGCTTCAGTTTTGAATTGAAGCATTTTCTGTGCTTCAGTTTTGTATTGAAGCATTTTCTGTGCTTCAGTTTTGAATTGAAGCATTTTCTGTGCTTCAGTTTTGTATTGAAGCATTTTCTGTGCTTCAGTTTTGAATTGAAGCATTTTCTGTGCTTCAGTTTTGAATTGAAGCATTTTCTGTGCTTCAGTTTTGAATTGAAGCATTTTCTGTGCTTCATTTTTGTATTGAAGCATTTTCTGTGCTTCAGTTTTGAATTGAAGCATTTTCTGTGCTTCAGCTTTGAATTGAAGCATTTTCTGTGCTTCAGTTTTGAATTGAAGCATTTTCTGTGCTTCAGTTTTGAATTAAAGCATTTTCTGTGCTTCAGTTTTGAATTGAAGCATTTTCTGTGCTTCAGTTTTGAATTGAAGCATTTTCTGTGCTTCAGTTTTGAATTGAAGCATTTTCTGTGCTTCAGTTTTGAATTGAAGCATTTTCTGTGCTTCAGTTTTGAATTGAAGCATTTTCTGTGTTTCAGTTTTGAATTGAAGCATTTTCTGTGCTTCAGTTTTGAATTGAAGCATTTTCTGTGCTTCAGTTTTGAATTGAAGCATTTTCTGTGCTTCAGTTTTGAATTGAAGCATTTTCTGTGCTTCAGTTTTGAATTGAAGCATTTTCTGTGCTTCAGTTTTGAATTGAAGCATTTTCTGTGCTTCAGTTTTGAATTGAAGCATTTTCTGTGCTTCAGTTTTGAATTGAAGCATTTTCTGTGCTTCAGTTTTGAATTGAAGCATTTTCTGTGCTTCAGTTTTGAATTGAAGCATTTTCTGTGCTTCAGTTTTGTATTGAAGCATTTTCTGTGCTTCAGTTTTGAATTGAAGCATTTTCTGTGCTTCAGTTTTGAATTGAAGCATTTTCTGTGCTTCAGTTTTGAATTGAAGCATTTTCTGAGCTTCAGTTTTGAATTGAAGCATATTCTGTGATCCCAGATAATGTGGAATCATTACATATTTATTAGTGAAAATCACTTCTTTTTATAATAGTCATAACTATAACAAGAGATATTTGTCGCTGTGTAATTTCAGAAATTAATAAAAAATATTTTTAAGTTTTTTTGAAAACATTAAAAATTTATTACAACTTCAGTTTTGAATTGAAGCATTTTCTGTGCTTCAGTTTTGAATTGAAGCATTTTCTGTGCTTCAGTTTTGAATTGAAGCATTTTCTGTGCTTCAGTTTTGAATTGAAGCATTTTTTGTGCTTCAGTTTTGAATTGAAGCATTTTCTGTGTTTCAATTTTGAAATGAAGCATTTTCTGTGCTTCAGTTTTGAATTGAAGCATTTTCTGTGCTTCAGTTTTGAATTGAAGCATTTTCTGTGCTTCAGTTTTGAATTGAAGCATTTTCTGTGCTTCAGTTTTGAACTGTAGCATTTTCTGAGCTTCAGTTTTGAATTGAAGCATTTTCTGTGCTTCAGTTTTGAATTGAAGCATTTTCTGAGCTTCAGTTTTGAATTGAAGCATTTTCTGTGATCCCAGATAATGTGGAATCATTACATATTTATTAGTGAAAACACTTCTTTTTATAATAGTCATAATTATAACAAGAGATATTTGTCGCTGTGTAATTTCAGAAATTAATAAAAAATATTTTTAAGTTTTTTTGAAAACATTAAAAATTTATTACAACTTCAGTTTTGAATTGAAGCATTTTCTGTGCTTCAGTTTTGAATTGAAGCATTTTCTGTGTTTCAGTTTTGAATTGAAGCATTTTCTGTGCTTCAGTTTTGAATTGAAGCATTTTCTGTGCTTCAGTTTTGAATTAAAGCATTTTCTGTGCTTCAGTTTTGAATTGAAGCATTTTCTGTGCTTCAGTTTTGAATTGAAGCATTTTCTGTGATCCCAGATAATGTGGAATCATTACATATTTATTAGTGAAAACACTTCTTTTTATAATAGTCATAATTATAACAAGAGATATTTGTCGCTGTTCAATTTCAGAAATTAATAAAAAATATTTTTAAGTTTTTTTGAAAACATTAAAAATTTATTGCAACTTCATTTTTGAATTGAAGCATTTTCTGTGCTTCAGTTTTGAATTGAAGCATTGTTGGATCCTTGATTTGTCATTTTTAAAATGATTTATAATTTTTTAAATTAAATATACTTTTTCTAAATTTGATTGACATTTATTTAAATATTTTCATCCTTTCTAAATTTCCCCAACTCAAATATTAAACTTACTTTCTCATTAAAAATAATCTTTTCTTTGTGTATTTAAAAATAATCTTTCCTTTCCCTTTCATCAACTTAAACATTTCCTTCTGGCTTATATTTAACTTAAAAGTATCTTTGTTTAATATTGTATTTTATTACTTTCCCTTCTTTATCTATCTAAAATATATTTTATTCAAATCACCGCCTTCAGTTCTTGACTATATAAACACCCCTCACATTTTACTCAATTACCTTAATTATCTTATACTTTATTTTAAATAAATAAACTTGATTTAAAGAAAAGGCTTGTAATTTAATTTGGAAAAGTAACCTGAAAGTTCAGAGAAAAACCTAAACTAAAACCGGGTCAGACTAAAGTAAAAGAGTCAAATCTTTTACTGGTGCCACGACCCGGGAAAGAGATTTGGTTTCTAACTGGCCACTAGATAACCATTTCTCTTGCCCAAACAATAAGTTTGGAGTTTTGTTTTGAAAAAAATTTTTTTAATTTTAATTTGTAAAATTTTTATCTGCCTAGCAGATTTTTTGTTCTCTTGAAAAGAAGAAAGAGGTTTGAGCTGTGTGCGAACCGAAACCAGTGCACTTTAAAAGTTAAAATTGCCTGAGCTAAGTGCGGGCTTCAAATTGGAAATAAATATTGCCTGGGCTTAGTGCGGGCTTATAAATTGAAGATATATATTGAGCCTTGAGCTGTGTGCGAGGCCGACTTAAAGAAATTAATTGGTAGCCTTGAGCTGTGTGCGAGGCCAATTTTTGAAAAAAAGAGAGAATTTTTTAGTTCCTTGAGCTGTGTGCGAGGATTTGATATTTGAGAAGTTGAAACTGTCCCTTGAGCTGTGTGCGAGGAGATCTGAAAAAAAAAATCTTTTGTTTAAATTTATATACCCCTTTTTATTTTTTTCATTTAAATTAATCAGCTTTTATTTAAAATTTAATTTAAACATCCTTTTTATTTAATTTATCCATTTAATTTAATTTAAAATGTCTGGATCGGACTTTGATGATGTTTATTTTTCTGCAACGGAGCGAACAAACTTCCAGCCGTTACTTAATCGACTGAGATCTTTTGAGAAAACAGTCGCTCGCTCTTTTCGTCAATTTGAAGAAAGATTAAATGTTGTAGAAGAAAATGTAAAAACTAATAAAAATGGACTTTCTGGAACAAAAGGATCGGTTACTAAGCTCCGAAATTCTTTAAAAACTATGGAAAATTTTGTTAAAGAAAAATTAAACCAAAATATAAATTTTGAGGAAAACCAATCGGAAGATGAACCTAAAATCGATCTAGAAGTGAAAGTTGGGGATCCTTTCCTTAATAATGGGAGTTTTATCCCTCATTACGATGGAAATCCGTCCATTTCATTCTCGAAATGGATAGAAAAATTCAAAGACATTTTAACGCTGCTGACTACCCCATTGACGGAGGCACAAAAACTAGCTCGTTTAAGATTCTGTTTGGATGGCCAGGCAAGGACTTTATATGATTCGATAGATCCCGCTCCAAATACGTTGGAAGAAGCGATTCAATTTTTGAAAACTCGCTTTGAAAATGGGAATACCAAAATTATAGCAAGACAGGCCTTGTCTATTTGTAAGCAAGCGCCAGGTGAACCTGTCTTTGATTTTTCGAATAGACTGAATGAAGCAGTTAGAGCTGCTTTAAGCGGAGAAAATGAGCAAACCATTAAAAAGAGGCTTTTAGAGGAATTCCTGGACCGTATAACGCCAGAGCTACAATTTCAGGTTAAAGCACAAAGGCCTACGGAGTATGTTTCGGCTTATGAATTGGCTCTGCACTTTGAGCTTTTGCTGGGTGATAGAAAACGTGCGAATATTTCCAGTGCAGATCTCGCCGAAAAAGTAGATGCTTTAACAATTAATAAAAATAAACCTGATGTTATTACCTGTTATTGTTGTAGGCGTCCAGGTCATATAGCACGTAACTGTCCTGAGAATCAGGGAAACTTTAATAGAAACTATAGAAGAAACAATAATTACAATCCACGAAATAACTACAATGCGAGAAATTATGATAATAGACAGAGATATTATCAGAACAGATCAAATTACAATCCCAATTACAATGGAGGCCATAGAAATCATTACAGTAATTCGAATTACCGCCAGAACAATTATGAGCAATATGAAGGTCAAAGACGTAATAATTACAGAAATTATAATAATAGCAATCAATATACCTCTAATTCGAGAGACAGTAGTAGATCTTCTGGTAGTAGACGTGTTAAATCTGAGCGTAGATCAAGTCCGTCTATTAGAGTTATTAGTCCACTTCTCCTTGCTTTACTTGCCTTATTATCAGTTTTTAGTGGAACGTTAGCTCATAATCCAATGATTTGCTTAAATGATGCTCCAAAATCTTTATGGAAGTTTCCAGATACAAATTATCCGAACTGGCAGCCAACAGCAGAATTAACACACGAAATTATAAAACTTACGAGTAAAAGTTCTGTATGGCAGAATCCCAGTTCAAGATCAGAAGCATTTGCTAGCAACATTATTGCTAAATGCCTTTTTGCTTTTCTTACTGGAGGTATTTTTCCAATTAACATAGTTGTGGTATTTGCTTTCTGTTGCTACGTTACACTAAAATTTGTATTGCCAGCAATATTGGCCCAAACAATTGGCTATCTAAATATTGGCGAGAGAATTTACCAATACACCTCTACTAAGAAAGGAGCCAAAAAGATTGAGAAATTTAAATTAAATAATTTTAAAATAAAAACGGCAAATAAAGATAAATTAGTGCCGATTGGAGACAGATGGCCCTATCAAAACTTTGGAGAAGAAAATCCTAAAAATAAGTTAGTTGAAGTAATGACAGCTGGCCATCAATGCGATGAGAATATGCGTGTACTTGTAGAAATTAATGGACAAAAATTAATTTGTCTTTTGGATACAGGAGCTCATATTTCTTTAGTTGGTAATAAAACAGCTAAAAGATTAGGAATTACAGACTTATATCAACCAGATTGCAGCGGAGTTATAGGAATTGGAAATAAAGTTATACCCGCTATTGGTCAATCTGAGATAATATTAAAAATAGCAAATATTCCAATTAAAACAAAATTAACAGTGGTGAATGATGTGTTGAGTAACAATGGAACATATAGTGTGATAATCGGAAGAGAATCTCTCAAGAAGATGCCCCTCTTACTTAATTTAATGACGGGAGAATTAATAAATAGTGATAAATTAAAAAATAATCTGCAAAAATTAATAAATTGCTCACTTCCTCTGAAAGAGCAATCCGGAGAGAATCTATATAGAATAGAAGATAAATATGGTTCAGAACGTATTTCACGTAGGGACCAAATGAGGATCCGCAGAGGCGGTCTCCGAAATAAACCAACCTTTTAGGTTGAGAAAATTCTTTTAAAATCTTATGTATATATCTCCCCACCATATTTAATATTTTTTCCATTTATTCTCCTTTACTATTATTTATTGTTCACTGCTTTTTCATCTAATTATTGTTGTCTTAATTTAAAAAAAAATGTAACTTCATCATTTAAAATGACTACAATGGAAATTCATCAAATTTTGGGAAACAACACTACTATTGGAGAGGGAGGAGATGGATGAAAAAAAACAACAACTAATTCCACTAACAACAAAAGAAAAACAATAACCTTCTGAAGTAATTCAAGAGGAGGAAATTAAAGAAATTGTTAAAAATTAACCCTCGTTGCGAGGAGATAGAAAATAAACTAGAAAAAAATTTTTTAGAGCTCTTTCCACCAATAATGAGGGTGAGGCTGAATCTGAAGTCAATGTTACATCTTGCGTCAGTTAGATCGCGAGAGGTTTTAATGATCGATATAGCCCATTCCGTGGGATGGAGGTGGAAACCGCCGTCAACAAAAATTCTACCGTGGTTGCTTATTTGAAGGAGGGAGGAGTGTTGGATCCTTGATTTGTCATTTTTAAAATGATTTATAATTTTTTAAATTAAATATACTTTTTCTAAATTTGATTGACATTTATTTAAATATTTTCATCCTTTCTAAATTTCCCCAACTCAAATATTAAACTTACTTTCTCATTAAAAATAATCTTTTCTTTGTGTATTTAAAAATAATCTTTCCTTTCCCTTTCATCAACTTAAACATTTCCTTCTGGCTTATATTTAACTTAAAAGTATCTTTGTTTAATATTGTATTTTATTACTTTCCCTTCTTTATCTATCTAAAATATATTTTATTCAAATCACCGCCTTCAGTTCTTGACTATATAAACACCCCTCACATTTTACTCAATTACCTTAATTATCTTATACTTTATTTTAAATAAATAAACTTGATTTAAAGAAAAGGCTTGTAATTTAATTTGGAAAAGTAACCTGAAAGTTCAGAGAAAAACCTAAACTAAAACCGGGTCAGACTAAAGTAAAAGAGTCAAATCTTTTAAGCATTTTCTGTGCTTCAGTTTTGAATTGAAGCATTTTCTGTGCTTCAGTTTTGAATTGAAGCATTTTCTGTGCTTCAGTTTTGAATTGAAGCATTTTCTGTGCTTCAGTTTTGAATTGAAGCATTTTCTGTGCTTCAGTTTTGAATTGAAGCATTTTCTGTGCTTCAGTTTTGAATTGAGCATTTTCTGTGCTTCAGTTTTGAATTGAAGCATTTTCTGTGCTTCATTTTTGAATTGAAGCATTTTCTGTGCTTCAGTTTTGAATTGAAGCATTTTCTGTGCTTCAATTTTGAATTGAAGCATTTTCTGTGCTTCAGTTTTGAATTGAAGCATTTTTTGTGCTTCAGTTTTGAATTGAAGCATTTTCTGTGTTTCAATTTTGAAATGAAGCATTTTCTGTGCTTCAGTTTTGAATTGAAGCATTTTCTGTGCTTCAGTTTTGAATTGAAGCATTTTCTGTGCTTCAGTTTTGAATTGAAGCATTTTCTGTGCTTCAGTTTTGAACTGAAGCATTTTCCGAGCTTCAGTTTTGAATTGAAGCATTTTCTGTGCTTCAGTTTTGAATTGAAGCATTTTCTGTGCTTCAGTTTTGAATTGAAGCATTTTCTGTGCTTCAGTTTTGAATTGAAGCATTTTCTGTGCTTCAGTTTTGAATTGAAGCATTTTCTGTGCTTCAGTTTTGAATTGAAGCATTTTCTGTGCTTCAGTTTTGAATTGAAGCATTTTCTGTGCTTCAGTTTTGAATTGAAGCATTTTCTGTGCTTCAGTTTTGAATTGAAGCATTTTCTGTGCTTCAGTTTTGAATTGAAGCATTTTCTGTGCTGCAGTTTTGAATTGAAGCATTTTCTGTGCTGCAGTTTTGAATTGAAGCATTTTCTGTGATTCAGTTTTGAATTTAAGCATTTTCTGCGCTGCAGTTTTGAATTGAAGCATTTTCTGTGCTTCAGTTTTGAATTGAAGCATTTTTTGTGCTTCAGTTTTGAATTGAAGCATTTTCTGTGCTTCAGTTTAGAATTGAAGCATTTTCTGTGCTGCAGTTTTGAATTGAAGCATTTTCTGTGCTTCAGTTTTGAATTGAAGCATTTTCTGTGCTGCAGTTTTGAATTGAAGCATTTTCTGTGCTTCAGTTTTGAATTGAAGCATTTTCTGTGCTCAGTTTTGAATTGAAGCATTTGAATTGAATCATTTTCTGTGCTTCAGTTTTGAATTGAAGCATTTTCTGAACTTCAGTTTTGAATTGAGCATTTTCTGTGCTTCAGTTTTGAATTGAAGCATTTTCTGTGCTTCAGTTTTGAATTGAAGCATTTTCTGTGCTTCAGTTTTGAATTGAAGCATTTTCTGTGCTTCAGTTTTGAATTGAGCATTTTCTGTGCTTCAGTTTTGAATTGAAGCATTTTCTGTGCTTCATTTTTGAATTGAATCATTTTCTGTGCTTCAGTTTTGAATTGAAGCATTTTCTGTGCTTCAATTTTGAATTGAAGCATTTTCTGTGCTTCAGTTTTGAATTGAAGCATTTTTTGTGCTTCAGTTTTGAATTGAAGCATTTTCTGTGTTTCAATTTTGAAATGAAGCATTTTCTGTGCTTCAGTTTTGAATTGAAGCATTTTCTGTGCTTCAGTTTTGAATTGAAGCATTTTCTGTGCTTCAGTTTTGAATTGAAGCATTTTCTGTGCTTCAGTTTTGAACTGAAGCATTTTCTGAGCTTCAGTTTTGAATTGAAGCATTTTCTGTGCTTCAGTTTTGAATTGAAGCATTTTCTGTGCTTCAGTTTTGAATTGAAGCATTTTCTGTGCTTCAGTTTTGAATTGAAGCATTTTCTGTGCTTCAGTTTTGAATTGAAGCATTTTCTGTGCTTCAGTTTTGAATTGAAGCATTTTCTGTGCTTCAGTTTTGAATTGAAGCATTTTCTGTGATCCCAGATAATGTGGAATCATTACATATTTATTAGTGAAAATCACTTCTTTTTATAATAGTCATAATTACATATAACAAGAGATATTTGTCGCTGTGCAATTTCAGAAATTAATAAAAAATATTTTTAAGTTTTTTTGAAAATATTAAAAATTTATTATCAGTTTTGAATTGAAGCATTTTCTGTGCTTCAGTTTTGAATTGAAGCATTTTCTGTGCTTCAGTTTTGAATTGAAGCATTTTCTGTGCTTCAGTTTTGAATTGAAGCATTTTTTGTGCTTCAGTTTTGAATTGAAGCATTTTCTGTGTTTCAATTTTGAAATGAAGCATTTTCTGTGCTTCAGTTTTGAATTGAAGCATTTTCTGTGCTTCAGTTTTGAATTGAAGCATTTTCTGTGCTTCAGTTTTGAATTGAAGCATTTTCTGTGCTTCAGTTTTGAACTGTAGCATTTTCTGAGCTTCAGTTTTGAATTGAAGCATTTTCTGTGCTTCAGTTTTGAATTGAAGCATTTTCTGTGCTTCAGTTTTGAATTGAAGCATTTTCTGTGCTTCAGTTTTGAATTGAAGCATTTTCTGTGCTTCAGTTTTGAATTGAAGCATTTTCTGTGCTTCAGTTTTGAATTGAAGCATTTTCTGTGCTTCAGTTTTGAATTGAAGCATTTTCTGTGCTTCAGTTTTGAATTGAAGCATTTTCTGTGCTTCAGTTTTGAATTGAAGCATTTTCTGTGCTTCAGTTTTGAATTGAAGCATTTTCTGTGCTTCAGTTTTGTATTGAAGCATTTTCTGTGCTTCAGTTT